ATGCTAAGCACGTGCTGTCTTTTATAGTAATTTACCCAGATAGTTAGCATTTTCCTTCCTCTGCCTTCTTGAAGGTCCACACTTCTTTCTTTCTTCTGAGCTGTAGAATCTCCTCTAATATTTCTTTTAGAGCACATCTCTTGGTTTTCATTCGTCTGAGGGTGCCTTTATTTTGCCTTCATGCCCGAAGGAAGACTTGCTGGGTGAGGAGTCCTTTTCTCTCAGTACTGCCTTCTGACTCCTGCGGTTCTGATGAGACACTCACATTCATTCAGATCGTTAGTTCCCTGTGTGTGGTGTGCCGATACTGCCCAGGTTTTATTGCTGTGACTTTTGAGCAGTTTAATTGTGATGTATGATTTTCTTTGCATTTATCCTGTTTATGATTCATTGAGTTCTTGAATCTATAAATTTTTGTCTTTTCCCAAATATGTAAAAGTTCAGGCATTATTTATTCAGGTAATTTTCCTACTCCATCTTTTCCTCTTCTCCTCAGACTCCGGTGATGTGAACATTAGACTTCTGCTGTCATCCCACAAATCCCCACTGCTCTGGTCGTTTACGCCCATCATCTGTCTTTCTGGTCTCACACTGGGTCATTTCTCTTGACCAACCTTCATGTCTCTGACTCTCACCTTTATGATCTCCCATTCCATTGCTGAGTGTTTTTGTTTCAGTAATCGTATTATTCTGTTCTGAAGTTTCTTTTTTAAAAAAAAAGTTCTCTCTCTGCTGAGAACTTGCCTTCATTCATTTCCGACGTGTTTACCTTTGCTTCGTGGAGTATACTCATAAAAGCTGCTTTAAAATCCTTATCTCACATTCCAACATCTGAACGGTATCGAGGCTGGTGTCTGTAAATCGTTTCCTTGGAGAAGTAATCTCATTGCCCAGTTCTTGTGTGTGGAGCACTTCTGTATTGTGCCCTGGACATACCTTGCGTTGAGTATGACATTGGGCACTCTGGAGAATGTTGAATTTGGAGTAACAGGTAGTCAGCTCAGTCAGATTTGCACCACAAGTTCTGTCTCACCCTCTGTGGGCTATAGTTTTAATCTCGTTTCCATTTTCAAAACTTTGATACGCTGCTTTGGGTCTGTCCTGGGAGTGTGCTGCTTGGGGGCGCCTGAGGTTTTCCTGGGCTCAATCACAGAAATAAGGGGTCTTTTTCTTCATCCCTTCCCAGAGGACCCAGCTGGACAGAAAGACGGGGTTTCTCTCAGAGTCACATCCAGGCAGCTCCAGATCCAGCCATCGCTGGGGCAGTGGCAGAGCAAACAGAAACACAAACCATCAGGGAGCTTGTCTTTTGACTTTTTAGAAACTAGGATTTTCTATGGCTTTTTGGCTATACCTCTTATATTGTATACTATCTTTTTAACCAAATCTAAGACTTACACTTTTTCTCTGCACTGCTGTTCAGAAATCAGTTTCTATCCAAGTTTTAGGCACTGCTGCCTTGCAGCTGTGCAGCGTGGACCCACCCTCAAGGCAGTGCCCCAAGACACGGAAGAAAAACAGGAAACCTGGGCCCATACAGGTCAGTTCTCCAAGTTTTTGCTTGTCTCCAAAGTCTTTCTGCTGTTGTTCACTTTTCAGAGTTTTCGGGTAAGTGATGTTCATTTTTTGTCTCGAGTTTTTAGTTGCAGTCAGGCAGGTAGAGAGCAGAGAGGCGATAGGGAGCCTACTGCCCCCGGCCAGAGCCAGAAGACTCTTACGGTAGTTTTACGCCGGTATTTCCACTGCTTTCTGCTTTATTTCTGCTTCCTCACTGCTTCCGTTTGCCTGGTATGTCTTTGTCTCTCATTTTTGCCTCTTGGAGTCACTTTACTAACTTTTCCCGTATTGACTTGTGCGTGCTGCGCCGTGACTGTTTCCTCCCTGTTTCTGGCCACATTTCTGACTTCAGTGAGGTCTTCTGAAGGAAACTGTGATTTTGAACTTGGTCCATGTGACATTTTCTGCTCTGTGGAGTGTTCTGTCGCATGCTGCAGCCGGTGGCCGCTCGGGTAGCGCCAGGCCCGGCTACCGTCCACGGTGCTGCTGTGAGCGTCCCGGCACACGTCCTTGTGCACAGCCGTGCGGACGCCTTTAGGGTGTTAAGAGCGGCTGCTGGGTCACAAGGTGTGCGAGACAGTCCCCGCCTGCTTTCCAAAGTGACTGTTTTAGATTTTGCCCCAGTTGCCTCACATCTTGGTCAACATTTGACAGACTGTTTAATTTTTGCAAATCTGCCAGGAGTGCAGTCATAGCACATGGTGGTTTTGACAGGCATTTCCAAGGTTATTAATTAGGTTAAACATCTTTCATGTGTTTATTGGACATGTATGTTTCTCGTGAAATGTCTGTTCAAGGCTTTTGCTCATTTTTCATTTGGTGTTTGCTTTTTTATTGTGTTGCTCTGTGTTCTCTGTCTGTTCCGGAAGCACTCAAGTCCCGGGTGGGTTTGTCTCCCGCCCTGCCCCCACACACGTTTATATTCTGAATTACAGAGAAGTCACCAGTGTGGTAAACGACACTTGTGTACCCTGCACCTGCGCCTGCTGGTACTTGCTTTACTGTGTACTTGCATGGAGGTAGGGAGAGACTTGCATGGGGCTTTTCTGAAACATTTGAAAACAGATTGCAGACATTTCACCTCTAAGATGCTGCAACCTGAGAATGAGGGCACTCTTCTGCATAAAACACCATTGTTTTCCCCAAGAAAATTAGCAATGCTTATTCCGTATTATCAGCAGCCAAGTTGTGCCAGAACTGTGCTCGTGGCCTCATTTTTTGACTCAGGATCTCCTGGGGCCTGCACACCACGTGTGGCCGTGAGGCTCTCCAGTCTCTGCATGTGGAAGAGACTCCCTGCTGCTGCCCTTGCTCTTTGCCCTTGACCTTTTCCACCCGATTGGCAGGTCAGGGCCAGGGTGGGAGTGTGCCTGCTGGTGCCCATGGAGGGGGAGCCGTGAGAGCCAGGTGTCTGCCCTGGGCAGGAGCGTCTCCTCCTTGGTGGGAGTGGCCTGTGGAGCCACACTGCGACCCTGACCCTGAGCACGTCTGCCCACCAGCAGCCCTTCACCGCCAGGTCCTTCTCCACATCTGAGAGGCGACGTTGTCTCTCGCTCCTTGTCTGTATTGGCCGTTCTGTCTTCTTGCCTCTGGAACCGTGACGAGCCTGTATCTCGCAGCCCCAATGCCGGGGTGCCCTGCTGCTTTTGCCCCTGGAGTCCTCCTCGTGGCGGCTGGGTCTCCTGGTCTGGTCCTGTAGTGCTGCCCAGAAGTCTGCACTTCTCAGGGTTTTTCCTGTGGGTTCACTGAGGCCCAGGGCAGTGGAGGGGGGCTCCTTCTGAGAGACAGCAGTGAGGTTTGGGCTGCAGCTGGAGGGCGGGCATCATTCTGGCCCTGTGGGTGCAGTGAGATCTGGTTCTGTCTGACACCGAACATACAGCCCAGGGGTCTCGTCTTAGTGGGGCTCCTTTGAGATCACCATCCTTGGGCCAGGCTTCAGGTGTAGGGCTGCAAGGGCCCGAGGGCAGGGCCAGCTGCGGGCTCTGCAGGCTTCTCCAGGTTTGACCTTGATGAGCGTTTTGCCTCTGAAGTTTCTAGGCTTTTTCTTACCAACACAGTATCGAAGAGTTTGGTTTCTCCTTTATCAGCATTTTCAGTTGTTCTGGGGAGAGGGCCAGTCAGGCCTCCATCCTGCTGGAAGGGGCGCCGCCCTGGCGAGGAGCATCAGGGCCTGGGACTGCTGGGGGAACCTCGCCCTTGTCCCATGTCCGCTGCGGCCTAGCTCGCACTGTCGCACAGGCAGCAGTGATGAGGACCTGCAGGCTGGGGGCGGGCAGGGGCTGGGGTTGGTGGTCCTGTTGGTACAGACCCCCAGCAGCCCAGGAACGTGGGGTGGGACCTGTGGTCTTTGGACACCAGGCCCCTGCCCAGCCCTGCCTCCCCTGCCTCTCGAATTGCACAGGTTCCCGGCCCCGCGGCTGTGTGTGGGCTCCTGCCTCCCCTGTGCTGCCCCTCCACCACTCCCACAGTGGGAGGTCGGTCCCCCTCGAGCGGTTCCCATGAGGCCTATGGCCACTGCCAAAGCTAGCGCAGAGGGACATGGGGCCAGGGTTCGGGGGCGTTTGTGGCCACAGTTGGCGAGGCTGTCAGCCTGGGCAGGTGGTGTCAGACTGTCTCCCTTTTCCACTGTAAAGGACTGTGTCTCGCAACACCGGGGCTGTGCTGTGCGGGTGACAGTTCGGGCTCCTCTGCCTGCAGGACAGAGCAGGGAGCCAGACTGACATGCACCCCGGCTTCCAGGGCCACAGCCTCTGCTCGGGTGGCCTGGTGCCAGGAGATAGGATAATGTGATTCTTCTCAGTTAGAGTAATAAGGAATAATTAGACGTCATAAATCAAGTCATCACGGGATATTGTCATGGGGAAAGTATGTAGCTAGAATTAATTAGTTTTCAAATAAAGCATTTACTTTAATTGCTTCAAATGATGGAGCCCTTAATTGCCGATGCTTCGTTTTGGCTGAGTGTCCAGTGCTGTAATGACACAACAGATTTTTCCCTGCGGTCCTGGGGAGACGGGGGTGCTGGATTTCATCACCTCGCAGTGAGCCTGATGCGCAAGGTTCTGGAAACTCCGTCAGGCCGCAGGCAGGTGGCAAGTGTGGGCTGGGCTTGTGCTGGTGCTGTGCAGGGCGCCCCGCCACCTGCGTGTGTGTGTGCGGGCGCCTGTGTGAGCACATGTGTGAGCACGTATGTACATGTGTGTCCACAGGTGTTAGCACGTGTGTGCATGTCAGGACTGCACGATGGGAGCCTGTGTGCAGGTGGCCTGTCACTGCAGCCTGGGCTGAGTGGGGGCTGCACCCCCGGTCCTGGACAGGGGCCTCTCTGCTGGGCTGAGGTGCTTTAGCAGGGTCTGCGTCCTTGGGTTTCTCTGAGCCTGGGGTCCTGCAGCCCTGCTCCCGTCACTGGCCAGCGGTCTCTGGGGCAGGTGTGGCACAGGTGGGCAGTGGCTTCTGAGGGTCCCACAGCTGCCCCTCCAAACATGTCCTCAGGCCAGCCGGTCCAGGCAGCCGTCCTTGCATCTAGGAGTCAGTTGGCTTTTAGCCAAAGGTGGGAGGGACTATTTGGCTGAAAACCCTAAAGGAGAGAGAAACAGAGACAGAGACACAGACAAGCAGAGACTCGGCCGCTGTGAACCGTGTCCCTGGCCCCTCCTCCCTGAAACCCTGTGACAGAGGCAAGATGTCAGGGTGGAGCGTCTGCCCCTGCAGGCTCCGTGGTGAAGGTAACAGTCGCCCGAGTCAGACCTGCGGCCACCCCTTCCTGGGCCTTGGCATCTTGGCCCAGCCCTGCTTCAACTGCCCTCCAGTGGGCCAGACCTGGTGACCTCCAGGCTCCTGTCACTGCCTGCCCTCTGCTCCTCGGGGCTGCCAGGCCCCTGCTGCCTCAGTAGCACCACTTCTTGGGTTTTGAACCTTTTGCTCCAGTCACACTGCTCCTGGGCCTCTTCCGAAGCCCGGGGCTGGAAGGAAAGGCTGTCCCATCTCTGGGGTGGGGAGGTGTGGGGCTCAACGTCTGAAGGGGCGAAGCCCAGGGACCAGCCACCCTTTCCTCAGCCCCAGCTGTCCTCCCAGAGCCCTTCCTAGCGTCCCACCCTCACATTTTCCCGTCCCCCCCACTGGTGGCTGTGTGGCCTTGGCCCTGGCCCCATCCTGCAGAGCCCACAGAAAAGGCCTCCACCCAGCTGCTCCAGCCTTTCCCTCCCCCCCTCAGCCCGCCCGGGGCCTGCGGGCAGACGGAGGTGGCTCTCGCTGCCTATGGGACTGAGGTGGCGATCAAGTGGGCTTGGTAGGAACCCTGGCGCTTCTCCTTTGGGTGGGTGGGCCCAGCAGGCCTTACATGCAGGACCAGTGATTAGAGGAAGGGTCTCTTCTCTGTGAGGGGCGGCCCTCCTGTGGTGACAGGGTAACTGGTCCCCTGCTGCTTGGTGGCAGTGCAAGCTCTGAAGCATTTGAGGTGTGAGCCTGGAGGCGTAGGGTGGCTCTCTGACTGTCCCTGGGTGGCTGTGACAATTGGAAGTTGTGATGTGCAGGACTGGGACCTGGCGGGCCGTGTCTGCAGCTCACAAGGAATAAGCTCCCCTCCGTCTTTGAGTCCTGCTCATGCCTCTGGCACCGGGGACCTCGCACACGTCTGACTTTGCTGGGAGGAGCTGGAGTGAGGCCTGGACTGAGGGCAGGGACACTCCAGGTGGGTGAAGAGCCCAGAGGAGCAGGATCCTGCCCCAGTGGGACAGTGCTGGTGTGGCCAGGGGACTCAGAAAGCAGGAGGTGCAGCTGGTGGGTGAACAGAGGCAGGTACAGGGCACGGTGGGAGGGCGTGGTGCTGCTGGGCCTGCCTGGGGAGGCCGGTGTTGGGACGGGGGTGCCCCTGGGTGCAGAGGCCGGGAGCAGATGGAAGAGGGGTTTAGGGGTGGGCAGTATGCAGGGAGGCTCCGGTGCCTTCCTGAGGGAGGTCACTCACGCCCTCCTTCGGTCCCCAGGTGACTGCATCCTGCCCAGCATGGCCCCACCGCCCCCACCGCCAGACCCTCAGTTTGTCCTCCGAGGCGCCCAGTCAGCAGTGCATGCGCTGCACTTCTGCGGAGGAGCCCAAGGGCAGGGGCAGCCGCTGCTCCTCTCAGGGTGAGTACCCCCTGGTCCAGGGGACTCCGGGCGAAGTCGGGGGGGGGCGGCTAGCAGTGAGCCAGGCACTCTGCCCTTTCAGAGCCCTCTCGACAGGCTGTCCCCTTGGGTGTCCCCCAAGAAGGAGTCAGGGACACTCTCCCCTGGAGCTGGGACCAGCTCACCCTAACCCTAACCCCCGTCTCCCCAAGAAGAGGCTCCCCAGGGCCCTGCCCGCCTTCCTTGGCTCAGCTCGCATTCAGGTCACCTCGACTGGGAGCTGCTGGCTAAACGCCTGTCTGCCAGCTGTGCGGGGTCCTCCTCTGAACAGGTCCCTGCACGGGCTGGTGCACATCTGGAGCCTGCAGACACGGAGAGTGCTCGCCACCCTGGATGGCCACACGGGCAAGTGTGTGACCTGGCTTCAGACTCTGCCCCCAGGGCCCCAGCTCCTCAGGTGGGTCTTGGTGGCAGTGAGTGTAGCTCCCAGGGAGCCAGGCTGTGGCCCTCAGTGGGGGCCTGGGGGCCTCCCCAGCTGCCAAGACGGCTGGCTCCCAGTGGCAGAATAGGACGGGACCCATCCCAAGGCAGCGCCACCAGGGGTGCGGGGTGCCCGGCAGCTGCTCTCTGAGGAGAGCTTGACGGACACACGCTGCCTGTAGTCTGAGCAGAGCCCACCCTGGCCTGCCAAGATGCCCAGGGCAAGGGCTAGGGCCCCCCTCAGAGGAGCCTCAGTCCTCTCCTGCAGGCCGGTCCATGGTATCACGCTTGCCACCCTGCAGGTGGCCTTCTCTCCACCCTCCTGTGAGGCAGGGAGGACTGGTTGGCAGAGTGGCCCAGAGTCTGAGCCTGGAGCCCACCCAGCCTGACAGGGCTGCGCTCCAATCCCCCGTGTACCTGGGGTTCTGGGAGTGGGAGATGGTGGAGCCAGGGGGTTCTGGCTCCCTAAGGCCGTGGTGGT